ATCCATATATATAGTATCAAGTAGGTCTCCATTAAGAAATGCATTCTTGACATCTAACTAATGTAGAGGCCAAGAATGGGTGGCAGACAAGGAGATAAGCAGTCGCACAGACGTCAACTTTGCCACAGGAGCAAGGGTAGCACTAAAGTCTTTGCCCGGAATCTGAGTAAATCCTTTTGCCACCAACCGAGCCTTATACCGATCAATAGAACCATCGGCTAAGTACTTCATATTAAAGACCAATTTGCAGCCAACCGTTTTCTCCCTAGCAGGTAAAGCAACAAGTTCCCATGTATTATTATGTTGTAAAGCATCCATTTCTGTTGTCATGGCAGACACCCAATTGGGATCCTGGAGGGCCTCTGACACTGATCGAGGAATAGAAACGGTCCCAATCTTGCCCAGGAATGATTTATATGCATCTGAAAGACCATTATAGGAGATATACTGGGAAATAGGGTGGTTAGTGCTACTAGAAAAACCATACCAATTAGGAGGGTGACGATCACGTGTAGGATAAGGGGAGGTATACTCAGGAATGGTAGGAGCCATAGGAGAAGGAGAGTTACCTGGACCTGGTTCTGAAGACGATTCTGACAGGGGAGGTTGAGTGAGATGGCAACGAGAGTAGATCTGCAAAGGTGGAGGGGAACCCTGCATGGATGGAGAAGGAGATTCCAGGACAGTGTGATTTTCAAAAAGAGGAACAGGACGGGCAATAGGAGAAATCTCCTTCTCCAGATCAAAAGAGAGAGAATCCTGTACCACAGAATTAGTACTATAAAAAGGAACAGTTTCATAAAATGTCACATCAAGAGAATGATACATATGTTTGGTCACAAGATCATAACAACAATAGCCCTTTGACATAGCAGAATACCCCAAAAAAATACACCTAATAGATTTATCATCAAGTTTATGACGAGAAGGACTACGGTTATGAACAAAACAAGTTCAGTCGAAAACACGAGGCAGAAGGTGAAACAATGTATAATCAGGCTGGAGAATCTGAAGTGGGGCCTTACCACCCAAAACTCGACTGGGAGTACGATTAATCAGAAAAGCAGCTGTAAGAACAGCCATATACCAATAGAATTTAGGCACATGCATACCACTCAGAAGACATCGGACCACAGACATAAGATGACGGTTTTTGCGTTCAGCCACGCCATTTGCTCAGGAGTGTAGGGGCAAGTGAGTTGATGTAAAATCCCCTTTTTATTAAGTTCAGTCCGGAACTCATTTGAAACATATTCTCATCCATTATCAGAACGAATATTACGGACAACAGTGTTATACTGGGTTTTAATCATTTGAAGAAACTGGGTAAATAAAAGAAACACGTCAGATTTCTTTTTCAATAAATAAACCCAAGTACACGAGAATAATCATCAATAAATGTCACATAATATCGATGTCCAGATAAAGCAGTAACTGGGGAAGGGCCCCAGACATCAGAATGAATAAGATCAAATATACTAGGAGCATGACTCATATGAGAAATATAGCTAGTTCTAGTATGTTTAGAAAGCTCACAAACTTCACATTGAAACTTATGGTCCTTACATGCTTTATTTAACGAAGGAAACAATAGACATAGATACTAAAAGTTTACATGCCCCAAACGTGCATGCCACAGACTAAAGATGTGAAAAAAAATATCATAAACACTAGAAGTAGGTAGGACAGAAGCTTGAAGACTCGTTCCTGGTGGTTCCCTAAACTAGTAAAGCCCATCACGCTCATAACCCCTGCCAAAAATCCTCTTCGAACAAAGGTCCTGCAACAAACAGTGATCTGGTAAGAATATAACTATACATTGGAGGTTTTTTGCAAGCCGACTAATAGATAAAAGGTTAAAGGCAAGTTTAGGTACATGAAGGACAGATGAAAGAGTAATATTAGGAGATAGACAAACATCACCCTTACTGTGAATGTAAGATGTAAAGCCATCCGCAAGATACACAGATTGGGTAACGGGTATGACATTAGAAGAAAACACTGATAACTCACCAGTCATGTGATCATTAGCCCCAGAATCCATAACCCAAGTGAGCTGCTTGGCCTTAACATGAAATGCAGTAGGAGTACCTGTAGCAATAGTGGCAGTGGGAGCAGCTGAAGGAGCTCTAACTCTAGAAGCAAAGGAGCCAAGCTGGTCTCGGATCCGCCTAATCTGAGACTGAAGCTGGCTCAGTCCAGGAAATACAGTAGATCCATCAGTAGTAACAGGAGTTTCTGCAACAGCCGCAGTACGAGAAGAACCAGTTCCAGATAAACGGTTCCTAGAAAATTTTTGCTTCAGTTCAGGATGAAGTTTGAAGCAACGAGCCTTAACATATCCAACCCCTCCACAATAGTGACAAATAATCTGACCTCCAGAAGCTCATGATCCAAAGTTGGCTGCAAAAGCCATACTATCCCCAGCAGGCTCAGACACTGGTAAAGGAACAAGTAAGGACTGAATTAAACGGTGCTTGCGTGCTTCACCATCAACAATAGCAAAGGCTTCTAACAGGGATGGCATTGGTGATGCATTCAAGATCTGAGACTTTAGTGGTTCAAATTCTGGGCGTAATCCCAACAAAAACTGATAGGTATGCTAACGATCAAGACGTTTGACAAGAAGAGAGGCTGCCTCGGAAGGAAATTCACTGAGAGGCTTATATTGAGTAAGTTCCTCCCAGCGAGATCTCAAATACCCAAAATAATCAGCTACAGACAAATTCAGGCCTTCCTGCGAGGCCTTAGCAATATCTTGGTATAATTCAAAAATACGAGCTTTATTCCTAGAATGAGCATACATTTGATTCAAAGCAGTCCATAAGTCATTAACAGAGTCATAAAACATAAATATATTATAAATGCGTTCCTCTATAGAATTAAACATCCATCCTTAAATGGTGCAATTGTCCATATCCCACTGAGCATATTTATGATCTTTAATATCTGGCATCTTTTCAGTACCCAAAATCCACCCTGATTTGCCTTTTCCACCAACATAGAGGCGGAGGGAACGAGCCCAGGATGCAAAATTAGGCCATTCAACAGCACACTAGTAACTCGTTGAGCCGGTGTGTGTTGCGCCGAAAAGAGCGTTTCTTTATTATTACTTGATTCAGCCATAATATTAAATACAACAATTCAACAGATTACCAATAATTTCAAATAAAGGAGGAATAAACCTGATTTTGATCAAACTAAGAAGCCGAAGACACGGCGGTCTGATCTGAAAATGCTGCTGAATATCCCGGCAGCCCCAAAAAATTACAAACACGTCTTCTGACCCTTAGTGCATGAAAAAGACTAAGGGAATACCCCTACAGGGGTCGAACCTAGAGGAGATTGGCTCTCCTTAGGACTGTCGCAACAACGGCCTAAAAAAGAGAGATGGTCTGTAAAGAAAAGGAAAAAAAGAAATAGGGAATGGGCTATGACGAGATAGAGAAAGAGATTAAAAGAGGCGGTGAAAGAGAAAGAGAGGGGGGAGGCGTAGGTTTGGGGCTCTGATACCAAAAAGTAACTTGGTAAAATTGGCGTACTCAATTTAAAAGCCTGACTATCATTATATAGAAGAGGAAAATTACAAATATGGAAAGAAAATAAAATCAAATATCATTATAAAGAGAATAAAATCAAATCAGAATAAAAATAAAATCCCTAAATATTATCCTATATTGAAGACCCAATAAATCTGCCACAATCATTGAGTCAACTTATGGATATGATTTCCAACAGAAACAAAGAAAAAAAAAACTTCGGTACCAAAGAAAGCAGAACAGCACATACCCGGATCTGAAATGGGTTGGACCAGACCCGGATCTCTGCAAACCTGGTTTTAGTAAACCAAGGTTGGGATAGCTTCACACCTATAGCTAAACAAGTCTACAAATCCGGTTTATGTAAACCTGGATCAGGGTAGCATATCCTGGTTTGTGATAGCTTCACACCTGTAACCAAACACGTCTCTTCTTCTCTGCGATCAGCGCCGATGAGAACAGAAATCTGTTACCGACACTAAACTTAAGCAACAGAGGTTTGCGAATGAAGAATCGAGGCTAGTACACCCTAGCCCTTGCAGTGGCGACGGCAAGCCAACAAAAAACAACGATGATGGAACCTCTGTTTTGACAGCCAAGGCAGTCCCGGCCAACAACACGAGCTTTAGATCTAAGAACAACAGAGCTTCAGATCTAATAACAACAAACCAGAGGCGTTGACCACAACACCAGCTTCAGATCTCCGGCTCTGAATAGAACGACGAACAGAGCTCCGGCGAAGAACAGATTCAATCTCTTTCTCTCTTATTTCCGGTGCCGATCAGAGACTCTCTTTCTCTCTCGATTTTGATTTGTACAAGAACACACAGATGCAGCAGAAGCACTGATTCGAGAACTGGCAGCCACCAAGAAAGAATTGCTCTGATACCATGTGAAGTTTACACTGTAATAAGAGAGAGAGCAGATGGAGAGAGGCGCAGCCTCTAAATATTTTCTTTATACATTCAACCCTAAACATAAAAGGGTAAATATACAATACAAGAAAGGCCTATTTGCATAATGGCCACACACCCTATATCTAAATACAATCTGACCCCAACATAAATATATATTTACATATAAATATTCTAACAGTTACCTTCTCTTGAAAGACAAGGGAAGATATTAGTATCCAGTAAAAAATTGGAAACGGCTGAGGCATCTGAATATATACTTGGCCTAAGAGATAATAGTATTTTCCACTTCAAAATTGGAAACTACATGATTGAAAAATCTGATGCAACAAATTCCAGGATGTTGATGATTGTTCCATCTGATCGTACTGAAATTTATAGTAGTTGTCTGTCTTTAATTTTTTTCACAGTTCCTATTAAGTAATGGCATTGCAAGATCTGTAGTGATGGCTACAAATATTTAAAATAAGATGCTATGGTTTTGTAAGAATAACTACAAGAAATGACAAAATTTGCCTTTTTCTACTAAATTATTTATTTTTTCTAGTACTTAATCTTCCGACGTGGCATTGGAATTGATCGGACAACTGACTACTTTTTCATGGTGAAAGTTGACTTGATCATTTCACGTTTATGGGCATGGCTTTTGAGAAAGACTAGGTGAGTAACTTTTTGGATACATCAGCATCGTCAAGCTAGTAGCTTTACCATTAGACAACTTATTTTTTTATTTTTAGTTCTTGAATTTTGTTTGGGTGCAACTTGCAAGATAGTTCAGATGAGTTTGTTTGTGAATATCTTTCCATATAGATTTTATTTTCATCCTTTTGGATTAAGCTGTCATGTACACTATTTTTTATATTATTTTTAATCCTTTCTGGGCTTTTGTTGCTTGCAGGCTAGAAGGGCTTTTTTCCACAAAGTCCAGTACACAGCATAAGGGAGATCCAAATAAAGATGATGAAATTAGCACAGAGACAAAGCAGGATGACTTATATGTTGAAAGGATCCATATCGAAAATATTGAACTCAGGTTTTAAATGGCATCTTAGTATTGCAGCTCTGACTGTTGACATCTTAGCTCCACGGCATTTGTTTTAGAAGCAGTGAAAAACATTTAGATCATGTCTTACTTTTGTTGGCACAACCACAAAACTCAGCCCAAACATTGTCTCATTGATTGTTGTTTTGAATAGCTAGCAGCACTCGATTACATAGGCATCTTCATTTCGACATACATGTGATTGTGTGTATTCCTGTGTTTATTGCCACTTTATGACATGTTTATCCCCCCCTTGCTTCCCCCAGTTTACGCAGTCTGTTGAGCAAGATCACAATCCAAGAACCAACCTTCGATAGGATAATTGTTGTTTACAGGTACTGAATTATATCTTCTGCTTTACAGTGTTGTGAACTGTGTGATTCAGATTGCCATAAACAAAATTTCTATCCAAAACTTGGTAGTTATTGTTGGCGTGGAGTAGAGCATTTATGATGGTAATTTTAAAAAATAAGTGAATTAAATGCTTCCAATTGTTTGAGGCCTTTATTCACCTGAGGGAATTGAGGGCTCCTGAGAAGGGATTAATTGCATATTAGAGAAAGGTCCATTAATTATATTGTAATGAATTCATTGGTGTGTAAATAGAATTGTGACTATGCAGGCTAGCAAGCACCAGAACAAAAATGGAACGAGGAATATATGTGAAGCATTTCAAAAATATCCCAATGGCAGATATGGAAATAGTCCTTGTGAGTTTTTGGCCTCTATGAGTGTGTGGATTTAATTTTTCTATAGCCTTTTCTCCGTTGAAGTTTGTGCATAACCTACCTCTGGTGTCTAAACTTTGACAGCCGGAAAAGAAAAATCCAAGTTTAACTCCAATGGACTGGGTTAAATTCCTCATCTCTGCTATAGTTGGTCTGGTCAGTTCTCCATTGGCTATGAAGTTTGTTGAGTGGATTGTTCTTGTCTATTATCCATTTCCTTCAGATTTCCTATGATGCTAATTGTTTACAGGTTGCTGTAGTAAGTTCGCTTGACACGCGCGAAACTGATTTTTGGGTCATTTTTGCTGTCCTCTCCACAACGATTGGTTACTGTGCTAAGATATACTTCACGTAAAGTGATTTCTTTTATTTGAATTTGATGCATATGGACAATTATTTATGCAACAGATTTTATGCATAACTGTGGGTGTTGTTATCCACCATTTTTGATGGGTTCACTTGGGGAAATCTCCTTTCACATGTATAACTGCACGTGTTAACTCATTTGATGGGTCAGTGAAATGTCTGTTCAACAAGTAGACCTGGTCAAAATGCATATCTACTTTCACATGTCTTCATTTTATTTACTCCTTGATGCTATAGTGTGGATGATTACATCAGATCAGGAGAACTTCTGTAGCAGGAGTTTTTGTTGGTTGAACTTGGACCCACTGGATCATGCATTGGGCCTGGATAGTTACCATGTTTTAATGTTTCTTCAACTGCCTGTAGGTTTCAGGAGAACATGACTACATATCAGAACTTAATTACGCAATCCATGTATGAAAAACAACTGGACAGTGGAAAGGGGACTCTACTTCATTTGTGTGATGATGTGATTCAACAAGAAGTAAGTTGCAAGCTAAGACATCCTTCACCAACAAACATAGTTGGCGTTTATGAGAGAGAGAGAGAGAGAGAGAGAGACGTAGTCTCAGGAGAGAGTCTTCGTGTGTGAAATGGGTCTGTGAAGGTTTTCATAAGATTTGTGGAGATTTAAGGGAGTGGCAAGGTTTTTTGTTGTTGTTAAATCGTTGTTTTTGTGCATCGGATTTTTTGTCGTTATTTATGATCAGATCTCACTTGGGCACCCTTCCTGGCAAACAATCTAACTGAAGCAACTTGAATGTGCAGGTAAAAGAGGTAATTATTTCATTCTTTATATTGATGGAACAGGGTAAAGCTACCCTACAGGTATGCATCACTTTACCTTTTCCCCATTTTCAGTCATTGTTTTCTTGATTCCTGCCTGCATCATATTGGATACAATTGTTTCAGAATTACTGGTGTTTGATTTTTGTGATAATCTGAAATAGGACCTTGACCTGCGGTGTGAAGAACTAATTCAAGAAGAGTTTGGTGAGTGCTGTAACTTTGATGTGGATGATGCAGTTCAAAAGTTGGAAAAGTTTGGCATTGTTGCTCGGGTGAGACTCTCTCTCTCTCTCACTTGGGTGATAATAGTTTGAAGTTGCAACTAAATTTGACCAAGACATGGAAATGCTGTACAAGCAAATTTGAAATGCTGTACTAGGTGTACAATAAATAAGAGGCATGACACGTCTCTTTATGTATCGTGAGACTGACATATCATGGTCGGTCCCATTTCTAAAAACTGAAAATCAATTTGACAAGTTCACCTGATTGATTTATTGCATTTAGACTAGTAAGAAGAGCAATTGACTCTCAACCTTGCAATAGACGTGATCTGTTCATTAAGTGTGGGAGAATAATGCAGGTGGGGGGATTACTATAGGATTAAACTAGTTGTACTCTGTTAAATGAAGTGGTTCTCCAAGCAGAATTCTCATTGAACCTGGTGATCTAAGTCTCTTTTCCAATTGCCACATCTTTTGTCAAGAGAATGTTTCTTTGCACTTTTGTCTCTCAGACTTGGAAATAAATCTTTGGATTCAGGACATCATTGGGAGGTATTCCTGCGTAGGTCTCAAGCGTGCTAACGAGATAATTGGCACTACCACAGAGGAGCTTGTCCTCAAGGCGAAACAGGTTACAAGTGCTGCTGCTTGATATTTTATTGTCTTTGGGAAGGTAAACCCCACTGCTCTCCCATCCCATGCCCTAATGGCTAATGGCTTGGGAGAAATTCACTGGCAATGTTTGTTTCTACATCAACCACCACCTCGACGTGGACATCTCCCACTCAGGTCCCTGTTTTGTTAGTTCTTTTATTTATGTTATAACTTTCAAATGTTTTGGGAATTAATGTAAACTATATCGTTGGACATGCCGGCAGTAAAAAGCACTCTCTTGAGTCTTAACCCATGTATTTATCACCAAATAAAGTGAAAGTTTGAGAATTCATGTTCAATGTGTTATTTGCCGGATTAGGAAGAAAAAGAACATTTATCTAAAATAGTAATTTTTGTATTTTCCTCGAGTTGCACTTCATTCTGGATGTGTGATCCGTAGCATATATTTGATACAAAAAGTAAATATTTGATACAAATGAGTTCTCTGAAAATAATTCTCAAAAATTCAGATAACATATATTATTTTCAAAAAAAAAAATAAAAGACAATACTCTGAAAACTGTCATTTTTATAAACTGAACTAAGCATAAAAGACAATTTTCTAAAAACAGGCATTTTCATAACCGACTTTTAAAAAAACTGAACTAAGCATAAAAGACAATTCTCTAAAAACAGGCATTTTCATAACCGACTTTTAAAAAAAACTGAACAAAGCAAAATCCAAGTATTTTTTATAATTTCTTTTAAACATTATATAAACCCGGACAAGAAGAAATGCCAAAGGAATGGGTGCAGGACTTGGATCCCTCCCTATCCCCTCCCCCATGTGTACTAAGATCTCCATTCCATCCACCCACCTCATCTAGGGAACTGTAGTTCCATTCCTCTTATATAGATCCGTACATACCATTCATTTAGATTTAAGAATACACACGCATGCATATAGATGCTTTGCTCATGTAGAAGCAGAAAAATAAGGTATTGTTCCACACTCGCATCATAACACCTCTTGGTGATTTCTGTAGTAGTAACAACTAACAATACGCATGTCACATTGACCATAATCATCAAAGAGAAACAAAATGCATATGTTCCATAAGCAAGCAAACCCCCCACCTGCATAGTTTGTAATTATAATAAATAAATAAAGACCATGTGGTCACCAGTAAATTGAGATAAATCACTGGCGCTCAGGAATAAAAATCAAATGAAACACAACACATGAAGTATGCTATATAAAATTGCAAGATATGGCAATTTGTTCTAGATTAGCTAAATGTTTTTGTGAAATTTCATCACCGTTCATTCTATATATGAAGTCATGGACCTGCAATGCAGTGGTTGAAAGAAATTCACTTGCAGCTAATCTCAATGCTCAGCGTTCGACTTGCGATTTCTCTTTTCCTCGATGCCTGTTTGTGAAAATCTGTGTCTAAGGACTTGTAGAACCTCTTCTGCTTCAACACCTCTGAGCACCAGTAGAACCATTGCATGATAAAGCATATCTGCCATTTCTGAGGCAGTTCGTGACTTGTCCTCATTCTCCTCCAGTGTTCGACATAACTCATCTGCTTCTTCCCTGCAAAGAAAATGCTATATTTTTAGAGGTCTCTACCTGAAAAGATTATATGTATTTTGCGCTCAGTGAACATATATAACTTCTTTAATTTATTAAATATTATTATTTGAAGATATTTTGATAGTTTGGTTAAGGGAGGGAAAAAAAAAAAAAAAAGAAAAAGAAAAAGAAAAAGAAAAAGAAAAGGAAAAAAGAAAAGAAGAAATTGTCAAGTCAAATGCAGAGCTTGTGATACCGGATTTTTGAGCACAATAACTTGTCATCAAGCAATAGTCGTTTTGTCCAAGAAGGTTTCTCATTTTGTGATCTTGATAGTTCAGCTTTCCTTTGGAGGATTGTGGATTGCAATGAGTACAGAGTTGTCAATGCCATCTTCTTTTCTTCAGCCTAATGCAAATGACCAGTATCAGATTTCATATGAAACGAAGAAACTTACTAATCGATTGAATTGATGAAATACTGGCAAAAGAAATAACGGCAGGGTAGGAAAAAATATGAACCTGCGGATTATTTAAGAAATCAAAAACTGATGTGTAATAGCAAGTCTCTGAGCCTGTGTGGCAAGTAGGGCCATCAGGCTTCCCTAGGTATATTAACTGGAAAAAATCTATGAGTTAGATTCTGAGATCCAATAAGGAAACTCAATGAGATGATTACATGTAATCAAAGATTTAAGCAGCAGTTATCAAAACTCACAGAGTCACGATCACAATCAAGAAAAATGTCATGAACATTGATGAAATTCATGGAGGACTCTCCCTTTGTCCATAGTGTGGATCGTGACCTGCTATAGAATGTTGCCTTACGAGAGGAAATGGTTCTTGCCAGTGCATCCCTGTTCACGAACCCTTGCATTAAGATAGCTCCCGTGTCAACATTTTGAGCTATTGCCACCGCCAAACCCTTGGCATCCCATTTCACATTGTCTAACAATATATCCACCTAAATTTACCTTGTTAGATATTTAACTCCCTCAATTTGTAGACAAAAATAGATCATAAAAGGGCAGGAAGAATAAAATAATATATAGATATATATTAAAAAAAGATGAGAATGGGCATGACTTTCTCAATTTCATTCCTAAAGCAAATTTATGTAAGTCCCCCTCCTTATATGGTGAACAAGAATTGGCTCTGGTGATCGGAAAAGTGAAAAGCACACTCCTGCCCGAGGGAAATAGTAGTATATAATTGATGCTAGGACCATTATGTAGCTTCTTTTTACACATATACTTTTATTTTTTTTTTTATAAGTTTCTTTTTACACATATACAGGGTCCAAAAATGGCCTGGATTATGATCAAATGCATATCATCAGGCAACATTAGATACTTCCATGATATCTCCATTTTTTTTTTTTTTTTTTTGTTGGGACATGTAAAGTTCCTATATAATGCCCACAATAAATCTGACTAAGTAATTATGTCTGGTGGTTTAACCTCCAGCATACATTAATCAAAAACAAAAACATACAACGGAAGAATAAGAACTCGCTAGTTATAGAGGATTCTGTGCAAAAATAAATAGATAAACAGATGTAATTAAAATAAATAAATAAACTAAGAAATTAAGAAAAAAAGATTCAGTATAGCTGCAGCAGGTCAGGGTAATGCTGTATCTGTTCATCTTTCCATCACCCTCACAATGCGCTGACACTTGAGACAAGGCAGCCATAATGACCACCTATCAGGCACAATCACCAGTTCATTCAGGTAGAGAAGTAAATTAAAGGAAAACGCAAAAGTCTACCAAGATTCTATAATTTCACTGACTCGTATATGTAGTAGCAGCTAAATGATGCGTCTAAATTTGCTTTTACAGATAAATATTCATTTCCAGCAGGGATTGAATCAGATATACAGGCTGAAGTCATTTTGTTTCAAAAGCCAATATATTCTTGGGAGCCCCATCCTCAAAAGAATAATGATGGGAGGATCTAACAAAGTAGATTTTTCTAGCATTCACCTCTTTATTATCAACCAGATGAATGCATCACGTGGATTAACTTGGTGCTAAATAATAATACAAAGTTCCGTAGGAATTTAAACTGTTACAACAAACACTGCAAACCAAGAACACAATCAAGAATCACAATACAAAGGTAAACACGCCATACACAAAGAATACAAAGATTTATGTGGTTCGGCATAAGCCAACGTCCACAGTGAAGATCCAGCGAAAGATTTCACTACGCAAAAAACAGGAGATTACAAATTTCAACTCCCAAAGCCTAACTCTCTCTCTCTCTCTCACTCTCTTTCCTGCGCTTTTCAATGTTCTCTCGTGACACACCTCAAACCCTAGATGCCCTTATATACTAAGTGTAACAAGGGTCATTTGTCCTACATCAGATCCGGATGGGAAATTGATTGGGTATAAATGGGTAGGTATACAGTACTACCCCACAACTTGAGCTTTTGGGTAAATGGGCAAGCGCCCACCCGTTCCAATTGGTATCAGAGCTAAACCCAATCCTTGATCCGGTGTCACGCCAAACGCCCGACCCGGAAGGCGTCCGGGTGAGCACCCCGGGTAGACAGGGTGGCCCGACCGCAACGAGGGCGTTACGAGTTCGGGTAGGGGAAAATGTAATAAGGGTCATTTGTCCCACATCGGATCCAGATGGGAAAGAGATTGGGTATAAATGGGTAGGTATGCAGCACTACCCAACAGCTTGAGCTTTTGGGTAAATGGGCAAACGCCCACCCGTTACGCTAGACCACAAAAGAATTCTAGAACAAGGTCCACGACTCGCAACAAGAAAACTCGTCAATAAAATTTCGAACCGAAATTGGGGTCGTTAGTTGTGACCCAAGCCAAAACAAATTTTGGGCCACAAAATCACATAAACTATGGCACCATGCAAATTGATGAGATAATTCAGCAAACAAAGCAACAACCAATAAGAATACAAAAATATCCAAAATCCATAATCTCATTTTAAGAGAAGAAAAGTCTGCATTCCTAATTTTAAGCATTCATATATATATATATATATATATATATATATATATATATATATATATTCAATTCAAATTTATTTCATGCCTTGCGTCAAGTATTAGATATATTCTTCTACACTTATTTGTTGATATAGAGTTTGAGATCACTTCCCTTGGTAAATAGGATTTGTTTAGGGTTAAATACACTAATCTCTTTTGAGATTTGCCTAATTACACACAGATAAAACTTTTCAAAAATCTTGCACTGATCTCCCCTCTAACGATTTGGGGCTATAGACGTAAAAAGTTAGGATAAAATTAAATATTTGCCCACCACTATTTTCTTTCCCTCTCTCCACTCTCTCCTTTCCACTTCTTACAGCTCTGTCAGTACCTAAGAAGCACAAAAACGGATACGGGACACAGAGACGACATTGACACGGCGATATGGCAAATCCTAAAAAATCAGGACACAAACACGGCAAATAATACATATTATATATATATATATATATATATATATATGATGTTGTACTTTAAGAAAATAAGAGTAATATTATTTTTTATCAATCTAATAATGAAAAAAAATAGTGTTTTGGTACGGAAAAAAAAAAAAAGAATGATAGAAAGAGGGTTAAGAAAGAGAAAAAAGTAAATAAACAAAGGGAATTAGGGTTTTGTTAGGAAAAAGAATTAGGGCTTAGTTAAAAATAAAGGTAAGAAGAGAAAAAAGTTGTTGAAACAAGAAGAAAAATAAAAAAAAAGAGCCACAAGAATTTTGTTGTGAAAGAGAAAAAAGAAGTATCTAGGACTTGTGAAGAAGAAGAAAAAGAAAGAAAAAAAAGAGGACGAAGAAGAAGAGATAAAAGATGAGAAAGAGGAGAGAATGACCATCCACCAACAACAAAGCTTGGTCGGTGGGACAACAAAAGGGTGTCAAAGATAATGTGTAGAGAAGTGTATGTCTTACTTAAAAAATAAAAATAAAAATGGCTCAGAATGGGACACGCATGTCGAACACATTTCCATGGCGTGTCAAACGCATGCCGACGGAAATGAACAATACATAACATTCACCACATGTATATAAAGCATTAAAATCATAGATTCCATTAAAAAAAATGCATGAGAGAGATATTTGAGTAGTTTCTTCCTTTAAATCAATTTACCCTTTGCATAGTGATCAACCTTTAAAACAAAACAAAAAAGGGACAACCATAATTTTGGCTTTATGTTTTCTCTTGTTTTGTTTCTAATATAAGGAAATGGGATTTTATAAATTGGGAAGCATGTAATGAACTTAGATTGTGTAGAGACAATTGCTTTTTAAAAAATAGTGTATGAGTGCTTATATAGAGATATAATACAAGGAAACACCCAAGCTTTGAAATTTCCTCCTCTTTGCTCTTCTTGCTCCTACAACCTTGCTTGCCAAAAGAAATCACCTCTATGACCCATATATTAAATCTCTAAGCCCAGGTCTGTGGGAGCCTTAGAGAGAGAATGTGTAGAGAAGTGTATGTCTCTTGTAAAGAATGCTAGACTATATTTTAGGGTCTATAATCCACTATTTATAGATAAATCCTTGGAGTGCCCAAAGCACTCTACACCTAACGCACTAATTCCACTCTCTTGCAACTTTCAAAGTTGGGCTAGAAGTGAGGATCATATATGGTTTCAAACTCTCCTTGGTTCGAATGGGCTTGACTAATTGACACGGTCATCTCATGACCCAATTCAAGTCAACACATTAACCAAACTTAACAGTTAACACTACCATATCAGAATGGTTGCACTCATTTGAGAATGATAAAACCACCATGTTAAATCACCATACTATTGGTAAGAATAATATTGCTATGATGGCCATCACAATCTCTCAACTCATTGTCAATCCCATTCAAATACTTCGCAGATAGAGAGTCCATCCTCTATTACCGAATTCAAACACATTTATGATAATGCAGTGCATCCCTGATTCATTGTGGACGCGCATGAACACACATCATATGCATGAATCAACTTGCATATTCAAAGGACACCACGATCCATCTCACCGAACAATACATAACATTCACCACATGTATATAAAGCATTAAAATCATAGATTCTAGTAAAAAAAAAGTCTATACAATCCATTTAATATGTTACGTAGCGCACATAATCCCAACATCTAAAAATGGGAAGAGAGAGAGAGAAGAGGTGACAATGGTGGTGGATAGAGGAAGAGAGGAAAGAGAGAATGGTAGTTTTGTCTTTGAAAATAAGGTTTTCTTCGTAATTTAATTCCATTCTAAGGATAATTATGTCTTTTCCAGCAGGTAAATGGGCATTTGGTCCGACCAGCATTTGGACGAAATTAGGGGTAGTTGTAGCAAGTGCCGAAACATCAGAGGCACAAGGTCAAAGATTTTTGAGAACTTTCATCCATGTGTAATTAGGGCAAACCTTGGGGGAGGTTTATGATACAAGTATTAGGTCCATAGATATATAATCAATTGCTTTTCTATCCAGCCATAGTCTGGATATTTCATTTTATAAGTCTAAGAATGAATTATTCTTAATTGAAAATATTATACTCTACTTTTCATGTTATACAACTGCGTTTTCTTTGGAGCTGCATGACAACAATTAACAATCTATATCCTTACAACGTTTTTTCTACCATGAAAACTGGGTATTATATATATGCATATAAATATATCAAATTCATAATACTTTTCAGCATCCTAATTAACCAAGAAGAGTAGAAAAATATAAAAAATGGAACATAGAGACTGAAAGCAACTACCTTTGATGTAAGGGCATTATTATCAGTATCCGAGTTTCGAATAGAAGCGGAGACAATGCAACACCTCTTCTGTCTCTGAAGGGTGTGTACGCGACATTTGGAACCAGAACAGGATGGAGGAACTTTAACAAGAGATTGGAAATATGAAACCGCCATTACAGACAAAGTATTAGCACTTAATTTTGTCTCCTCCAAAATTATTCCGATGTCAGTCCTGAGAATATAAATAAAAGCAATCTTTTATTAACCCTAGGATACATTATAGTACTAGGTACTTGGTAGTATACTCCGGTGGCATTTTGGAACATGTTGAGTGAGACTGAGATTAGGTATGGCAATTGTTTAACTGTACCTTAACTTACCTTCATGGGGGTGAGAATGACCAGTGTGAAAGTGGATCAATTATCAATCAATCAGATCATCTTCTCCATTTGTGTGGCGCTGGCGGTCACTACTTTCTATATAGCATACTATCAAATGATAGAAGTGAAGGTCAGTGTATTACGACAATGGCTAACAGAAGGTGGACCGCCTAGCCATTAAATCTGGTATGGACAATACAATCATTGGGGCCAGACCGCAGAAACTTGCCCTTGTCTGGTCCCGAGTGCACTGGCCCGGTTTTCAAGTGGAATCCACCAGTACCCAGCATTGTGATTAGGGATGCCAACGGGACGTGTTTGGTGCAAGTACCCTTTCTCGTTTAATATAGTGCACCCGTTCCCACTCAAAACCGTAGGCAAACTACACCGTACCCCATTCCCACCCCCTTTTAAGTTCTCCAGCTCCACCCCGTTTAAGTATGTAAAGCATTTTCAGATTCTCATCATTTGCTGTAAAATTACAGGCATTTATGGTACACTAACAGAGATATATGCATACATACGTACATATATACATGTATGGACCTAACTGGTTCCTTCATCTCAATAGAAGCTAGAAAAAACTAATCCGCTGATAATAATAATAATAAAAATAAAAATAAACTATGAGCTTCTTCAAAGATCTACAAAATCCATGTAAAACTCATAAATTCTTTGAAAAATCATAAAGCATAGCTTAGAAATCAGTAAAACCTATCTTGACCAAAGTTTCTACTTCTTAAAAAGAAACCACACGGAATCCAACAATCAGAACCCAAAATAAAAAGAAGAAGATAATTTGAAGTATATTCTAAAGATCACATTGGCGAGGGAAAAACAAAAACAAAAAAAAAAAAAAAAACAAACGAAGAGAGGAAAAGGAAAGAAAAGAAACAAAGAATTTTATTAAAGAAGTCCCATAAAACTAACAAATAGAGCTGAAACCAGTAGAATTCCTAGGCATTGTCGCAACAGAAACCTAACAATAGATCAAAAATAATGAGAGATCTATACCATAGTACGAACGTCTATTCTTAGAAAAAGTGAGATCTTTTACGTCCATGAGAAGCAGAGTAGAAAAAGCAGGTCAGAAATGTACTGGGCTCTTTCTCACATTGCCGATTATGAACTTAGAACTTCGATTTATTAAGCAGTGTTGTCGGAGTTCACCAACTAATGGTAGAGAAGCGGGCGTTGTTGTCATCGAAGCTCACCGACTATGAGCAGAAAAAGGTAGAATCGAATTCACACCTCATTGCAGAGACTGAAAGTGAGGTCTCGCCAGCGTCGCCGCTCGCGGCGGAGAGAGAGGTAGCCGTGAGAGGCGACTGAAGTGGTGAGACTTGAGAAAGAGTAGATGAAATGGTAGTCGTTTTGGTGTTTTGTAAATTTTTTATTTTTTTATTTTATTTTTACTTTTTTAGATGTTTGACAAAGATATTGAAAATATTTTTCAAAAAAACACTTCTTAGAGAATACTGAGTTATATACCCAAACACTAACATTTTGAGATTGGAATTCATGGATATGAATTTATATATATATTTTTTACCAGTATTTGCTTTTCAAAAAAATTGTGTCAGAATGGAGCCTAGAAATCAATTACGTAGTACTTCAATTTGTGATGTCAAGTTCCTGTCACTTGCTTCAAAATTACTGATTTAATAAGGCAAAGATTGCTTACCAGATCCGTTCGTTATTCTGCCTTTGCTCGTAGATTATGTCTTGATTGGGCGCTTCCCGACTCTTTCATACGTCTGCCGGTGCAGCCACCGGACTGAAGATGGAGGCGACGCTTGCCTCTTGTTCGCACCTGATATGACTGTAAGGCGCAGACAACATTAGTCTAGGGTTCTCTAGACTGTTATTGTCTTTATTGTTCTTTTGGGCCTCGATGGGCTGCTTGTAATACATGCTGTATTCAGTTTCTTTTTGGGTTTGGCTTTTGGCCCTTGTTTTCTTATTTCATTTATACAAAATTTACCTTCCAAAAAAAAAAAAAAATAGTTCCTGTCACTTTATGGGAGATTTTGTGGAGGATATTCGATCGTTTTTATCATATATTGCAACACTAGTCATTCGAAGGCAAATGAACAGAGTGTAATGAATATGACATTGGAAAACATGGTTAGGTGAATTTCAAGCCACAAGTGGCCATGATCTTGCTAAGTTTTCAATTCGTAATTTAAAAATTATTTTAAAATATCTCAGTGATAGTGACGGATGTTATTATGTATTCTTATTTTTTTAATGTTCCTTGCAAAAACAAAATCTTTCATTGCGGTTCGCATACTACTGTTATTCAAAACAATAATTTAGAAAAAAAAAAAATGAACGAAATATTGAAAATAATTAGAACAAAAATTACTTTAAAAAGTGATATGAATTGACGGCTTGACATTATTTATTATTTAATACTAGTACTCAATTGAATGGATGATAGGATAAATTCACGTGAGATTGCCCTCACAACCGTAATTTTCTATTGTTTTAACGGCGGTTGAAGTATGTAATGAAATTACACTTTTGTCCAGAAACGTTTTAAAGTCTGCCGTTTTAAATGGGTGCCGTTGCTATGTACATCGTGCGGAAATCAATCTCTCTCTTAACTTTCTTTCTCATTTCTCCTCCTCTTTGTGGAAGCAAAGCCTCCTGGAAGGCTCATTCATTCACTCTGGGTTTCATAAATTTTCACACTCCACACGCGTTCTCATTCAAATTCTCCTGCTTATGACTTAATTGTGCCGCTCTCGCTTTATGTAATTTAGGTCTTAACCCTTCAATTAATCTCTTCTGTTTTTTTTTTTTTCGTCCATTCTTGCCTTAAAAGATTACCAATCAATATTGTTAACAACATTTGTTAAAATCTAGTTATCGCTACATACTTGTATTTATTAAACTTGGTATCACTGTCTTGAAGGCTCATTTCGCAGATAGATTAACATGTCATCTATTCTAGCACGAACAGGGCGGCACCGCCAACGTATCAGGATAATCTTAGGCTTGTTTCTGCGTGAGTCATCTCTACATCGATCTCACTACTTTTTTGTTTTTTTATTTTGCATAATCTTTAATTTTATTAATCTGCTTATGTTGCTACCCCTCCTTTCTGGTACTTCTTTAACTTGTTCACCAAGTGATGCATTTTTCATTTAATAACTTTGCATTTTATAATTTTAGTTTATGTATTCAGTGGATGAGGCTGATGAGCTTGAGCATTAGGAGTAGTTGATTTTCTTTACAATGAGGAGAAGCATCTCGGGTTCTGAATCTATAATTTTTAGTACAAGACAATGGTACCCCAAAGCCGGCCTTGTCGTTGACTTTGTTTGTATATATGCTTCTGTGAGGGTTTTGGCTTTTATCTATTTTTGTCCTCTATGTTGTAGGAACTTGTGGATCAATTAGGGTGTGAAGAAGAAGATCTGAGTGGTAATTGGATTCTTGAGGGTATTTTTCACTTCTTATGATGTGAGAGGACGTCTTAGACTATATTATCCATGCTAATAATCCTATCAGCTCTTCAAATTATTAAGCAAAAAGCAAATAAATAAATAGTAATAACCTACTTATAATAACAAAATTATTTTTAGATATGCACTTATTGTTTGCTATCATTCACTGGTGAATTGAAAATAGGATATCACACAGTGGGAATTGTCCTTTGTTTGGACCTTCCAGGGTTATCGATCTACTGTTTCTTACTGGTATGGTGTGCACAACAGGTGTATTCCTAATCGGGTGGCCAAAGATGGTGAATGTCATAGTAGTGATCTGGAGAACAGAATAGAAGTTCTAATGATTTCTTCACCAAATCGTAATGAGTTGGTGTTTCCGAAGGCACATGTTTGACCGCTCTCTGACTTACGTTTGCTATATGAGTAGTCAAAACTTTGTAGGTTGAAATTGAGTCGTCTTTATACCTCTATTTCTGTGTTATGTTGTCAGGGTGGATGGGAGGATGACGAGACTTTAGAACAAGCTGCTTTCCGTGAAGCCCTAGAGGAAGCAGGAGTGAAAGGAATTATCAAAGTAGGTTATACATTCCTTTACGAAAATTAGTGTGGTACCTTTTCCTTGCAAGTTTAATTAAACGGAAAAAGAATTGATCCTTAGACACTTTGTGAGATATCATGGATAGATTTGCAAATTCATGCGATGGATCATCATTTGTCATATATATATATACATACATACATATATATATATATATATAATGGTTTTCTTATTGCATTTGTTTTACTGATCAAAAGGGTAATTTAAATATATATATAAATGATGATGGACTAGGTGTCATTGATTCATTATCCTGTATGATTCTGGAGGAGAAAAGTAAAGGAAGCCACATTGCCATATAATTTTTAGTTGCATTTTACATTAAATTTTTAATAATTCCTGTCATGGTTGAAAATAATATAATCTAAACATTTTTTAAGCTCAAAATAAAGTTTACATTTCGGTAAAATAATTGAAATTGTGCAAGATTCCCAACTCGAGTGGCGTGTTTGGGAGGTATGCAAAATATTCAACTGATGTTACTAAAAGTATCTGTTTGTGGAATGATTTTTATGGTCTGAGTGAGTTGAAAGTCATACTAACAGTTCTAATAAGATTATATGGCATTCTTGTCCTCGCTTACTTTTATATGTAAGCATGATTTGTGCCTACGAAAATTTATTCAAAATGTGCAGTTCATTAGATTCCTTAGTGTTATGGCTATCATTTCGTTTGCTTCAAATTTTTTTAGTTTGTTGACGTCTAGTTTAGTGGCATTGTGATAAATTGTAACTCAAAAAACGAAGATGAAATTTATTGTTGAAAATATGAAGCTGAAAAGCACTTGGACTTCTATTTCAAAAGAAGGGAGGAATTTAGTTTTTGGTCTTGAAACTCCAGCATACTAATATTCTTGTCATCAATACGTGTACGTATATATGCACATAAAAGAAAATTGATAATTATTGGTCCAAAAACTCAAGCCTGATAGACAAATATTGATATGTAGATGACATATATTGATATCTAGACGGTACATGGCCCTTTTTATTTATTTATTTTCCCCTGAATTCAGAGCATATGGCTCCAAAAACTTTCAATTGTTAATTTTCAACTGTCATAGGACTTATTTACATAGCTTGTAGATATCTATGATTATGAAACTCATTGTGATGGCGATAACTGACAACACTTTGTAACCCAATTGGTGCAAATATGTATTGACCAGTGTCAAATGAATGAACAAATTACATTTGGACTTATCCTGATATCTATTTCTGTTTTGCTGCAGGAATCATATGCATGTTCCTTTGTATAATTTAAACTTGATCGTATAAGTGTCACATTTAGTTATTTTTGTTAAATTCTATCATCATTTCTTCATCTATGTTAGTTTGATGTCTCTTTATGTAGATGTGTTACCGCCATCACTCTCTTGCCCTTTAAACATTAATAATTGGAAGAATTCTATTTGTTCAGGAAAAATCTTTGGGAGTTTGGGAGTTTCAGCAGGGGACACATGTTTGCAATGGAGGTGACTGAAGTGTCTTAGGCTTGGTGTAACGGGTGGGTGCTTGCCTATTTACTCAAAAGCTCGAACTATTGGGTAGCTGCATACTCACCCATTTATACCGAATCACTTTCCCATCCGATTCCGATGTGGGACAAATGACCTTGTTACATTCTCTCCCACCCAAACTCGCAACGCCCTCGTTGCGGTTCGGGCCACCCTGGGATGCTAGCCCGGACGCCTTCCGGGCCGGGTGCTTGGCGTGACACCGGATCAAGGATTGGGTCTTGCTCTGATACCAACTGTAACGGGTGGGCGCTTGCCCATTTACCAAAAAACTCGAACTATTAGATAGTGTTGTATACTCACCCATTTATACCCAATCACTTTCCCATCCGATTCCGATGTGGGACAAATGACCTTTGTTACACTTGGCCAGAACAAGGAGACCGTGTGAGAAAAAGGGTCAGTATGCAAATTAAGATGTAGATGAATCGTATTCTGGTACAAAATGATTTCATTCTTGGGCTTGCAGTCTTTGTAGTCGCCTGATGCAGGCTATATGTTTTTGTCTAGATAGGCCTTATGAATGGTCTTATAGATAGATGTTAAGTCTATTATGACTGATCCAGAAAAGACATTGGAGTTTTTTAACCATTAAATTTATTGTTTTGGTCTGTAGTTACACATAAAAGAGGCATTCAAACTCTGCCGATATTAGTGGATGTGTAGAGCGTTAGAGGAGTTTTTGAGAGTAACAGACCTAATGGTTGAAGACAGGAAACAAGAGGCGCAGGAAGTGGTATTGGATCCACATCTTATTTCAGTTCCAGATGCTGTCATTGGGCGCTGTTATGTAAATGTAAAGCCTTCCTGTACCAAGCACCTTTTAAAAGTAATGGTTGAAGACAAAAAAGAACAACTGTGGAAAGAGGTAGTGGAGCCGCATCATATTCCAGTTTCTGATGTTGTGACGGTGTGTCAAAATATTTCAACAAACTGTTCTGTAAAGCCTTCTAGTAGCGACCACCATCTGAGAGTAATGGCCAAAATTGGGAAACTAACCGTGCAGGAAAAGATAGTGGATCAGCATCATCCTGTTTCGACGTTGTCCCAGAGTGTCGAATTATGTCGACATATTGTTGTGTAAAACTTCCGGTTACCCAACACCATAATATTAGTCCTATTAGTGCATCATTTGGGGTTATGTTTCCTGTCATATCCCTCTGATCGTGACAGGATCAGTTGTGACATCTTGTTCAGGTCATTCTTGCACTCTGTATGCAATAGTAGGGTATTATTGTATAGCTAATGGTTCTGTTATGCGACGACTCCATGTTGGGAGAGGAACAAAAGCTATTGTGAAAG